GTTTGAGCCCTTGTTCTACCACAAGAGCTTCGACCGCTTCGTGCCCTGGGAGCAGAGGGATAAGGCCGGAGCCGAGGTGCGGTGCTCACTCCTCACCCCTGAAATCCGCAAGGCCCAGACTTGTTCCCAACCTCAAGGGAACAGACCTCCTTTGTGGTTTCGTTTTGGGAATGAACAGACATGCTTGGTGCCAGCCATCCCGTTAACTTGTTAGTTTTTCAGTGTTTAGTTGGGGTTTTGATTCAACCCGTTAGAAACTAAACCTTTAGCGGGGGATCTGAGGACAGCCCAGCATGGATTCAACGGATGTGTTTTGTTGCCTCTTCATTTGCCAGTGGAATCCGTCTATCTTTGGCAAGCGACTCCTGGGAGCCAAGTCCCCGTGTGTGTGTGTGTGTGTGTGCGTATGCTTCGAGGGCAGCCTTTTGTGGCGTTCTGCTGAGCCCGATAGGTTGATTAATATGGGGTGAACCTAAAAATGCAATTGTGACAGATTTGTTCGTTGGCAGGCATGTGGCAAACTGCCGGGAAGCCATGGTTTTGGAGTTGTAAGCATTACAATCGCTTAGCCCTCCCCATTGAACACTCGTTGACATGAGGTTTTCTCTGAAGAATCCGCGAATTGATCTCTGGGTTGGAGAAATCAGGTCCTGGCAAGTAGATGTTGTCCCCGGAAGGACATCAGCCAGCCTTGAAGTCTACCTGGGGTAAACAAGTCAAGAAATCAAGCCTTGAATGGCGGGTGGTCAAACTTATGGAATCACTTGCTGGTGCGATAGGCAGGGAATGAGACATGGAATGGCCCCTATACACCATCCAACTGGTGGTTTTCTTCAAGGGGACCCTCAAATGGTTCATTCCCTTATTCCCTACTTATCGCACCAGCAAGATGATGGGTCCTTTTTTGGATGCCTTCAAAAGGCGGCTGGGTCCCAAAAGGCAAACATGTCACCCGCCGGCTCCCCGCAATGGATTTTGCAACCATATCCCCTGAAATGTTGGCTTTCTTCCTTGGATCCCCATCAGTTGCTGATGGAACCTTTTTTTGCTTGGATGTCCGCAGTATTAGACATCACAACCATCCACAGTAGGGGGCCCCTAAACTGTTGTTTTGCCTCCTTGGATTGTCATCACTTGCTGATGGATCCCCTTTTGCTTGGATGTCCGCAGTATTAAAACCTGGGGTAGACTTAGGATACATTTTGCATTTTACCAGTGACTCCATGTGAAGCAAACAATAACATATACATTCTATAACTGGGCCTAACTCTAATCATGAAACTCATTAAGTGTGTGTGTGTGTGTGCGTGAGTCCTGAGTCACCCGAGTCGGGGATAGGCCATGGTTTTCAGCTGCACCATGTTCTGCAGTGCCTACAACACCACAGCCAACGAGGCCATGGCGAAGGGCGGTCGGCGGTGGGTCTCTCGTCTTGAGGGAAACCCTTTTGGCTGCGGGTCAAAAATAGGGTAACCCCAAAATGCAACCCTGGTAAAAGGCAATGAACTAAAATCTGCGGTCCAATTCTTGGTTGTTTCATTTTGACCCATAGCCTTTTGGGTTTGTTTTAAGAGAAAACAACAGGAACACCACTGTGTTTGGGGGGGGGGGTCCCCTCATGTGGAGACAAACCCGTTTCAACTCCTCGGTTCAGGGCGCGCCTCCCGCAGAAATCCGCCCTGGCTGGCAATAGGTCTCAGGCAGGGGATTAGCGTTTCTCGGGTACACCCGACCATCAGCATTGTTCACTAAGCAGATGGTACAGACAACAGTCATGTTAGACATCGATGTGATTTTAGGGTTTTGCAAAAATCAGTTTCGGTGCACTGCCTTGCCTGAACCTCGTGATGAAAATATGTTTTGGATTTTGACGCACACAGGGGCTCCCTTTAGCTTTTTAGCAGCCTGACACATCACTGTTTGCTGCGATTTACATTGAGCTTCCATTTGGTAGGTTCAAAGACAAACTACAGGGAAGTCTGGCACCGGACGCCTTCATGTCAGAAAGAGCGAGTGATACCAGTGGTACTTGCATCAAACTTCCCTCGATCATGGGTGAATGTGCATGTGCGCCAGTCCGTATTCAACGGACAAGCTTATGGCTGGCAAAAAAAAGAAAAACATGCTGACAACCGTCAAAGTCATCAAGGCCCTGCTTGAAGACGCGCATGGAGTTGGGGGAGGGATCTTTATTCATCAAGGGTGGTGCCTTAGGGTCGAATGGTCGCCCAAAGCCGGGCGTGTGAGCTTTGTGGATTTTGATTGACCTTTGAGTCATAGCCAGAGACAGCAAACAGACAAGATGAACGAGGGTATTGATTTTGGGGAGGCGCCCATTGGTTTGTTGGGTGAATCGGGGCGTATCAGAACAGCATTGCAGTGGTGTACAAATATCTCGACACACACAAAGGGTACTATTGTCAATCTTTGCGCACTGGCAGACTCCCGGCTTTCCGTTTTGCCAAGCCGGTTTGCCGATTTGTTTCCAGCTGTGTGGTTCTCCATTGTTTTCCAAAATTGGAAAAAGAACAGGGCAGCGGATCTTTCCGTTTTGCCAAGCCGGTTTGCCGATTTGTTTCCAGCTGTGTGGTTCTCCATTGTTTTCCAAAATTGGAAAAAGAACAGGGCAGCGGATCTCGTGCTTTTGCATGACACATCCGCATCCACTCAAAACTTTGGCATGAGACCATTGGCTTGTTTTGTTTTGTTTTGCGGGGGGCACTACCATTTCATGTTGCCAGTGGCAGTGAGTGCTTTGCTCTGCCTTTCTTCGGTCTTCGGTCTTGGATGGCAGGTGAAGCTAGCTCTCATCCATGCCTCCCTGGATGGCAAGAGATATAGCTGGTGCCCTGAACCGATGGGAAAAGGCATATTCAGGCGGCGCCGATGGCCAGGGCTGCTGCTTGTTTTCCTTTTGAGGGTCCCCAAATTGTGTTGAGATGGCTGAGGATGCAAGTGAAATCGTGACCTGACTGTGTAAACCTTCGCCGCCCACAACTTAAGGCATATACCTTGTTTCAGCATTGTTGATTGTAGAGGATTGTTATAGTAAGTTGCGTATAGGATGCAGCTCAAGAAACATTGTCCATGGAGGCAATATATTCTACACGGGCTCGAAAGGTAAGGTGCACAACCGGCTACAAGGGGAATGCCGTTGCTCACAAATGAGGTGCCTGCAAGCAAGTGAGGATGTGAATTCCTGGCCATTGACATCCACAGCTTGTTAGAACTGTACCCGAGGTCATCTCTAAACCAAGACAGGGGTGCGTAATTTTTACTGTAACTGGGAGGGCTTGAATGGATATCAGAACAACATTATTGGGGTTATTTCCTTTTCCAACCATGTTGAGGCTGAAATTGGATCGACCCTTTCTTTGGGAACAACATGTTCCAACGGGTACCAGGGTTCCAAAGTGAGCCAAGCAAAACCTGTCGAAGACTACTTGGGCAGCCCAAACTTTGGTGGCTTACCTAGGTGCGGATAGTCTCATTCCTCCTGAAGGCCGGCACCCACCTTTGAAAGACCAGTCAAAGAGACCATGGCGGTCCTATGGACGTACATGAACCTCCTGAAACGCGCATGAGAGCCACTCAGCCAATTTACTTGCTCGTTCTCAGCAGGTTTGTTATGGTTTGTTAGGGAATCCCCAGATCCGGTTAATTCCCAAGACCCGGTCTCGGTCATCCTGTAGCTATCGTACCAAGTCATGGTTCTTTGTCTGGAGGGCTGCTCAGTGACACTTGTTTCCCATGTTAGATCCCATCCCATGTTAGATCCACTTGTTTCCCACTTCTCAACCACAAACATGAAGCCCGAAATGGTTTCCTTGCTCTACCTTTCGTGCCACTGTGCAACTGGGATGCGGAAGTTTCCTTAAGTCCAATTGCGCCCTTTTTGGGATAGCTGGTTGAAGTTAGACAGGTGTCAACCCGTTTTGGTTTAGCCATCCCGTCACGCATTCGAGAAACGGAATGGTGCCATTTAGTTTCACTTTGCACCTATTGCCCAGACATTTACTGGGTCGCTTCCCTTTTCTTGCTCAGCGGTGTTCCTTTAAAATGAGGTAGTTCCGCATAGCCACTGGGCGTTTGGGCGCCGAATCGAAGCGCGCTGCACCGCAGGTACCTCACGGAGTTCCGGGACGAGGATGCGAACTCGCCAGTGATCTATGCCCGGACAAAGCTGGGACCATAGCCATCAGAGAGCGAAGCGAGCGGAGTGCATCTCGAACCCTAGGGGGTCCTAGGGGGTTCCGTTTCCTAGACAGAGACTCCGAGACTTATCTTATGGTTTGGTGTATTTTGTTAAAGTCTATTTTTATTTTTATTCCCCAGCTGAAAGCTGTCAAATCTCAGCCCAGATAGGCTCCGGGGTGGTCCGGGGCGGCCCTGAGGTAAGGTTCCACGAGGGTTCCACCAGGGTTCCACCAGGGTTCCACCAGGGTTCCACCAGGGTTCCACAAAGGCTCCACGAGGTTCTGCAAGGGCTGCGGGGTGGTGCGAGCACTGCAAAGAACACCGCATGCTGTTGGGGATATCACCTGAGCTTATTTGTATTTATGTGCATCTGGGGTGTATCTCATTTTTTTAAAGTATTTGAGATTGACTCATGCAGCCATCATTCTGATGATCAGTACATCTGGCTCACTGTTGGAAAGAAAGATGTGAGTGGTCTTGTTTCTAGTTCAATATTGCGATGGATATGCACATGTATACATGTATATGCATATATATATACATATATATATATGTACATATACATATACACATTTATATATACATTGCATATGCCACTTGGGTGCTTGGGATCAAACGAACAACACATAGTTGAACTCGCTAAAGTATCTGGGAGAAATTGCTTCTTTCAGGGCCCAACCCTGATTATGCCAGCGCTTCCCCGCCCCCCCGTCCCGTGTGCGTCAGCTCTGGTGGTTTGAGTCTGAGCGTTATTTGTTGAGCCGATTTGGACCAATTGAATGGAAGGGTGATTTTTGTAAGTGGAACGTCATGCAAGGGACCCCGTTCCACCCCACGCCCCGATCGCTGCATCCCAGCTACCCAAAAGTAACCCTTCACCATTTCCTTTTGGTTGTTCAAGGGTGGTTCCCTCGGTTACCCTCACTCTCATGGCACCTGACAGGTTCCTTGAAAGTCTTCCAGGCACTCAAGTGCCGATTTGTTGGGAGGAAGGGTAGTCAGTTCCTGAGTGATGGCCCAAACCCAAACCCCAAGTGATGGCCCTGAGTGAGAAGCCATCCACTAAAATGGCAACCAAGCCCAACACGCGACTCAAGCCCGGGAACTCAGGAAGTGAGTTTTGTGGGGCCACCACACATGGATCCAACAGAAAACAGGGTCATTTTAGGTCGCCTTGGGCCGTGGGCCTTGGGAACTCGCCCAGGGCCGCCGAGGAATTTCTGGCCCGCTCCCCTGCCGCCCGGAAACTTCCGCTGGCCGAGGCTGCGGAAGTCCCCGACCTACCGCGCGCCTTGGGTCACGGTGACCCCCGGGGGCGAGATCAAGCCCAAGGACCTTGAGGAGACGTTTTTCCGGGGGTGGCCGCGCCCGGTGCAGGTCCCCCAGCTAGGGAAGGGCCGTTTCTTTTTTGGTGGGGAGGGCAAGCCCCTACTAAAAATAGACAGACAAAAGGGTACCAACTTGTTCTAAACCTCTCTACCGGAGGACCTAGCTCAAACAGGGTTTCCGAGCCATTTCGCTTGTTGGAACCTTCAAAAGTGGCGATTGTTTCATTCACATAGGTGTCCTTTTTGGTTGGTTTGCTAAAAAAATAGAGGGCCCTGGTTTTGATGGGGGTTATTCCATTTACCAGGGCCAAGGCCACCTATGTGCATTGACCCACAGGTATTGCCCGCTTGCCCCCGCTGCACGTTCATGTTTTCCTCACCTGTGTCAGGATGCTTTGTCACCTTTCTGTTTGTTGAATGCTTCCTTCAAGGAAACGGCAAGGTGATGAAATGATATTGTTCTACTTTTCCAGCCCCCCTATATTTGACTTTGGGGGCCATGTACGTCAAATCAAGGCAGAATAAGTGAGCCTCAGCGATGCACCATCAGTAGGACTCCTGGCAAAAGTCTTTGACATTTTGATCGAAGGTCGTGGGCCGAAAGGGAACCGTTTCTTCTTGCTGGTGCGATAGGGACTGACCTTTTGGGTGTTGGGAATGAGCCGGGTCCGGCGATTCCCTTACAGGAAGCCATAGGGATGGGCTATTGGGGTCATTCCAACCCATTCCCTGCTGAGAACCGGTAAGGTGGGAAAAAATGCTTTTGCCGCATGTAGCACCCGGATCGAGCTCAGGAGGTGCACATCATCACAGCCTGGGACGCCCTGCGCTTCGACACTCCCCTGAAGTGGGCCGTCACGGCGGGGTCCGCGTGTGTTTGCCAGCAGCTCACTTCAAACCACTTCGCAATTCGTGTGGGTTTGCATTTTGGTGTTCAGTGTAAACCACGCTGAAAAGGGATATCCTCAACTTACTCCCTGAGTTCTTAGACTTTATGTTGTTTGGGAAGACCATTTTAGTGTTAAACAAAAAGTGTGGACTTTTTCGGGCCATCCACTCAGGAAGTGAGGCAAGAGAGCTGCTAACTTATACCTTGATCACGATGCTTGGGTGAGGGCAAGGGGCAACGCTACCCTTGGAAGGCCGTAGCTTGCAACTCAGAAAATTAATGTGACCTTCTTAGAGGTGGAGTCTCCGCTTTGCAGTCCTCCATCTTTTACGGACAGGGCGCCGCTCGATGTTTGCACATGCACAGGCCATTCTCGTCGGTGGGATTGTCTTCTGGTACAAATCGATGTGCGGCGGCCTAGATAGGCGTCTGAAGCCAGCAGTCAGAGCTGAGGGAGGCTTTGCCAGCTGCTCAGTGCATTTGTCACTTTTTGACAGTTAGCATCCTTTTGATCCCAAAGTTGCCTCATCGGCCTTTGAGCCGCCGAGGGCGAGCCATATCAAAGTGTGGTTTTTGAAGCAACCTGAAAAGGCCACCCACAAAATAAACACACCTTCGGATCAGCTCTCCCGGTGGTTGGTGTCCTTTTGATGCTCCAAAACCATACCAAAAGGGAACCCATAGATTGAGAAGCTAACGCTGCAGGGCCCTAGCTTTGGGAATGGTCACACCTGCATGATGAAGATCCCTTCAGGGGTACTCTCCCACCAATACCTTTGAACCTGACAGGGGGTCCCTTTAAGAAAGGACAATTGTCTTCCAAGATGTTTGTGTAAGGTTCCGTGTTATTTGGTGGGACGTATCTGCCGAATTGTCCGACAGTGATTGTAACCAACCTGGGCGATGCCACGCGTGACCTTGCAAGTCAAAGGAAGTGGATTTGTCTCTAATTGAAATGGGTGAACCTCCCAAAATCCAAAGATGGGGCCTGATTCGTTTTGGTTGCTCACTTAAGCGAACCCAAAAAGGGTATGACATGGACATGTTTCATCAACTCCTTTGCAAGGAACGCAAGCAGCCATTGGAATGGTACCATGACCTTGACCCCCCTCCCCACATTTTTGGAAGTCTTGACACACCACATTTTTGGACAAGTTGCTTGTAGGACCATGTTCTGTGATATTCAGGGAATCACCTTCAAAGCCACCTGGGGTAGACTTGGGATACATTTTACATTTTACCAGTGACTCCATGGGAAGCAAACAATACAATACACATTCTATAACTGGGCCTAACTCTATTCATGCGATGCCTCACTTTGGTACTGTGGATGGACGAAATCCTGCACCACCTCAGAAACCCTCGTGTCTGATGATTCCCCTGTAAATACCAACCATCAATGGTTTGTCATGGTTTCCAAGTGGTGCGAGAAGCGGATTTCGCAACCATCCACAGTATCATTCTTACCCACCCGGTGCTCCGAGGAAGGAGAAAGACGACTGACGCTGGCCTCGCGTCCGCAGAAGATGCTTACGCAACCTGCGCGATGTGGACGGTTTGTCTCCACATGAGGAGACCCCCCCCCAAACAAAATGGTTTTCCTGTTGGCTCCTCTTAAAACCAACCCAAAAGGCTGTGGGTCAAAATGAATCCACCAAAAATTGGACCGCAGGTTTTAGTCCTTGTTTCCATTTACCAGGGTTCCATTTTGGGCACCTATTTTTGACCCACAGCCATGTTGCGGAGGGTCTTGCCCCCTACTTTCCAGTTCCAGGCAAGCCGCTCTTGTAGGTATCCTTCCCCTCTAAGACTCTAGGCCTCCGGGGGTGCCTGTACATACTCCTTTTACAAACTCCTTGGACAATTGAACCCAAAAGGTCTGCTGATGTTCATGCTCCTCTCCCCAAAAGGGGGTATATACCCCTTTAAAAGTGGGTTGGCAACCAGAGAAGCCAATGAAACGGTATGAACAAGGGGTATGTACTTCCACCGTGCTTCCTTGCACTTGCTACGGGTGGCTTGAACTTGGAAGCACCGAGCGTTTCCTCTTCTTTTTTTTTGCGGTCTTGAGGTTGTGTCCTTCGCGCAGTTGCTGTGGCCATGGGTCAGAGAGGTCCAACACTAGAGCTGATGGGGGAAGGCCAGTTATGTGGGAGACCACTCGCGTGAGGGGCAAGGCTTAAGGCCCGAGGCCCCGCAGGTGGGCAGGTCGTCAAAAAAAGGCCGTGGTTGGTTTAGCAAGCCATGCCGTTGGGTATGTGGTTCATTTGAGTGAAGGCTCCAGCAATTCAATACTCTGAACAAAGAATGTTCGCGAAAACCTCTTTTCTCTCCTGGAAGACGGGATTATTGCACAGATTTGGTGCACTACGGCAGCAGCTGACACCTGTTCTTTTTGCTCGCTATTCTCGTGCGGGTTACTGAAGCTGCTGCAATCCTGGGTGGGCCGTTCGTTTTAAAAGGAAGGATGTCCTCTTAGATGGGAAGCAAAGAGGGGCGGATGGACTAAATCCGCGTAGGAACCCTTGGACACCATGGTTGAGGCCATAATGTCTATTGGCATTTACAGGGGAATCAAATCATAAACCAGGGTTCTTAGGCGGTGCGAAATGGATTTCGTCCGTTGACAGTAGTGTTCTCTTTGCTCGCTATGTTCCACATGCTCAGAGTTGCTGCTAGCCATGGCTGGTAAAGTGGTCAAGTGGTCAAGTGGCGGTTGTTAGAGAAGCACCAGTGCGAAATCCGCAAAGCACCAACAGGGGGTTCGGGACCCTGAAAAATGGATGCGCTTTCATATATGACCGGCTCGACTTGCAGTTCCCAGACACTTCCTTTCTTGGCATCCACTGTTCTTGCATTCACGTGGAGCTGCCGGGAAACCAAAAACATGGTTCCATATTATATATATATATATATACACATCAATTATACATGGGTATGTGTCACAACAGGGGGACCCCCAAGATGAGTGTCAGGCGGTTTCCTGTTGGTTTCCCTTCGAAACCACACCAAAAGTGGTACTCTCAAAAAACACACACGCACCCTATTTTCTCTGCCAATGGTTGTCTTTGGGGTTCCACGCGGATTCTCAAGAATGTCACACCCCTTTTATTGCATCAACGGGGCGGGGTTCAGAACTTGGGCTCCAAGGCTGCATTCGTGAGCCACAGCATTTGAAGCGGGGCTGGGCCGTGCTCAACAGACAAATCAGGCGAGTTGGAAAACGGATGCTGGCTGGATGCCTGCTAAACTATTGTGTTCTGATCTCACAGCGGGAGATCCCAAACGATCTGAGGGCTCTTGGTTCTTCCAGGGTGTGTGATTTCTCAGCCGTCAGCGAGGCTGTAGTAACCCAGGGCAAGAAATGGCAGGACGGGGCGTCCTAGAATTGGAGCTGGACAACGAAACCAGGGTTTCGCTTGAGGCGGGTTCCTTGCTCTAGCCCTATCTCGGCTTGCTGCTGTGGGGTTTGTAAAAGGCATGTGGAAGAGTGCGTTTGAGGCACGTACCCCAGAAATTATTCATGAACCGAGACTGAAGTCAAAGCATATCCAGGTGGTCAACAGTGGGTCTAGTTTCTTCCAGGGGATAGTGATCTTGTGGTAACAGGTACCCGTTCGCCGGCTTGCTCTGCGCATTCGGCCCTTTGTTTGTGGCTTCTTTCCTCGGAGCGGCTTCGGGCTTGGGATTCCGCGAGGAGCTTCTTTTTGGCTTTGGAACATTACCCAGACCTCCACATTTGCCCTTCCTCGTTTCTCATTGGGGTTCCCTTTAAAATCAACGAGCCCTTAGGCGAACATTGCATCTCCGGTTGGCCTCAATGGAGCCAAGCCGAAAAGAGTTTTGGAAGCTTCCATGGAATCGTCTGAGGGGTACCTAAATTTGATCTCATTTTTCCGGCCTCTCGTCTGGGATTGCGGAACAAAACTGGAATCGCCTCTGGGGGCAGGGTCCCAGTGGCAAGGTTCTTCGTGGGGGCAGCTCTGTGGGAATACCGTGGTTCTGCCTGCAAAGGGATGCGTTGTTTTGCAACCAAAAACCATTGGAGGGACATCCCCCACTGAAGTTCTGGGAGAGGGTACACTGCGCCCCTTTTTTGTGGTGTTCCCTTGCCTTTCGGTCAATGTAAGACGGCCGATGGGTGAGTCCCTGATTTCACGGGTCTTTACGTGGCTCGGAAGTGGTGGCTTGAAGAGGTGTAATGAGGTCAGCAACAGCAACTCCCATCCACCGATTGATCCCAAAAAGCAATTGGGGCACGTTGGGTTTGAACACAGGACCAACTGGACCATTACAGTCAAAGTAGACCAAACAAAGGACCCATGAGGGATAGCAACCAGCGTCAAGCTTTGAGTATTTAAGGCATCGATCGCAACGCACACATGATTGCAAAACTCAGCACCCCTTCTTTGGGATGGTCTTAAGAGTAAGCAATATGAACACCTGTTAGATGGAACTTGACAGAGACAGACAGACAGACAGACAGGCAGGCAGGCAGGCAGGCAGGCAGGCAGGCAGGCAGGCAGGCAGGCAGACAGAGACAGACACACAGACACACAGACACACAGACACACAGACACACAGACACACAGACACACAGACACACAGAGACAGACAGACAGAGACACACAGACACACAGACACACAGACACACAGACACACAGACACACAGACACACAGACACACAGACAGACAGACAGACAGACAGACAGACAGACAGACAGACAGACAGACAGACAGACAGACAGACAGACAGACAGACAGACAGACAGACAGACAGACAGACAGAGAGACAGAGAGGCAGCCAGCTAGAAAACTGGCTAGATAGATAGGCCGAAGGATTCCCCAGTTGTGAGACACACCCACAGCGACAGACCATGGCGAGCGATGGCCGATGACGAGGACGGCTTTTTTTCGACTAAGAGAACACACTTTGTCTTAGTGGCACCCTTCGCAACCAGTTGTGCTTGGTGTTTTGCAGCGGGAAATTCTCGCAGATGCGCAAAATCCCGCACTGGTTGGTGGATGGTCTATCACGAATGCCAGCCATGGGGTTTCGAGGTACAAAATCCTCAAAGTGACAAAGCGGTCTTGGGAATCGACAACCGTTTTCTGGTTCCCACCAAACATGGACGTCGAATGTTGCTTCAGGTAAGGCCACCAATCTGGCGAGGCGGATCTAGCACGCGTTTTCGCTCAATAGGGGTGCTGATGTAGCTTTTCTTTGGCTGGGGCTTTCGACACAACTGAGGCACGTTTGGAGTTGTTGTTGTGCTTTTAATTGCTCAAGACCCAAACAAAGCCCGGGCGAGGGGTGGTTCCTGCTTGTTTTTGTTTCTGTTTTCAACTGTTGTTGCCCATTCCTTTCTTTGTATTCCTCTTTGTTTTCCCTTGTCTTTTTTGCATTGTTTCAATCAGACCCGGGGCTTTCCTTTCTTTGCTTTCCTTTTTGCCTCCCCTTGTCACTTGTCGCTTTTTGCTTTGTTTCAACCGGGGGGGGGGGTTCTCTCGTTTCGCCGTTTAAGCGCGGGTCAGAGGAGTGGGTGGCGCTGCCGGAGCGTGGCGGCGCGTGGGGTGCGGCCCTAAAGAGGGCCAAAGAGCTCTCAGGCGTCGGGTCTGCGACATCGGTGTGGTTTTTGGATGCTATCAAATGGGTGTGGGTAAAAAATCCGGTACCAAAATGGAACCCTGGTAAGTGGAAACATGGACCAACACCTGCGTAACCGATACATTTTGCAACCATTTGAAACATGTTGCTTTTTCAACACCAAAATAAAGCGAAACCACCATTTACAAGGCAATGTTCAGGTGTCTAATGTCAGGATCGTTTTGGATTCTGTCAAATCTGGGTGAATTATGACGACCTCACACGACCTTATAACCTCACACCGTACGCTTTGACGTTGGCAACGCGCGTTGCCAAAACGCGCGTTTCAGAACTCCCGTTTTGCACGTTTTGGGGAATACGGCAGTCTGGCAATTGCTGGGCGACTTAGATGCTTTTTGTTGCCCTACTGGCCAACTTTCTAAAAGCTCTACGGGGCAGTCGTTTGCACGTCCGGCGACTAAAAGCAAATGTCTACTGGACAACCTAAGAAGCTCCACAGGGGAATACGATGCCTTCTTGTGGCCCCGCAGCAAAAGCATATGTCTGGACAACTTGAGAAGCTCTACAGGGAACACGGCAGTCTTTCACGTCGGCGACGCAGATGCCTTTTTTGCCTTGGAGGCCCCCGAGCCCTCAGGCTCTCCAGATGCTAAATGTTGGTTTGGGTGCTGTTTCCCAGCCCCGAAAAACGCATGCGTGTGCTTCACGGTTGCTCAGAGGCACCCGAGTTGTTTGCTTGCCTTAGGCTCTCCACTTGCTAAATGTTGGCTTGAGTGCTTTTTCCCAGCCCCGAAAAAACGCATGCGTGTGCTTCGCGGTTGCCCACAGGCACCCGAGTTGGTTGCTTGCCTTAGGCTCTCCAGATGCTAAATGTTGGCTTGAGTGCTTTTTCCCAGCCCCGAAAAACGCATGCGTGTGCTTCGCGGTTGCCCAGAGGCCCCCGAGTTGTTTGCTTGCCTTAGGCTCTCCAGATGC